ATTGATTCAAGATTATTCAAATTATGCCTCTTCACCGGATTTGGTTGGGTGTGTCACGTGATATGCAGTGCCCTTGATACACGATTCTTGATTTATATACGTCTGCGACTCGGTCAGAACTTTATACCTGCATGCATGCGTGCATGCTGTTGTGCGCGCGTTCAACGGCTAACGGGCGCTTTGTTCAACGACCACCACGTCGCGCCTCAAGATTTTGATTTGATTTGGCGTCAAGACTCTTAGACGTTGGGCTGCGTGGGCCAGGATTGAGAGCAGAAAGGCTCAAAGTGGCAAGCGTAGATGCCGAAAGATGCTTGCAAACATGGTCATTTGGCTTTGACTGCACCACTGGCGAGAGGGGCTCCGCGGTTCTGCTTGGGCAAGAGGCGCATGGACGGGTGCTAAAGAGAGACATGCATCTTGCGCTGCCATGGTTGAGTCATCCACAGCAGAATACGCAAGCGAGCTAAAGGTGGACGTGCGCTCGCGAGATGTTGAGCAGGGCAAACTGTCACTGGAGGTATCACCCACTGATGTCTAAACATGCACGGGCATCGTGCGTCGCAAGTGTCTTGCGATTGTGCTTCGAGCTGCGAGCTTGCAAGAGATGTGAGTGAGCGCTGTCTGTTCGCAAGTTGACTAGACTTGCAGTGCTTCCACACTTGCATCGCTTCTCCACCATCACCCATCCCATCCGTTTCGTTCGTCCGTCAGTCAGCTTGCGTCTTCACTGCCCGCAATCACGAATCACGGCTCACTGAATCTGGCTGTCAATCATGCAACGCAATCGAACTTACAGCCGCGACTCCGGCAGACCCATCATCTCTGCAGCATCCACTCCTGCATCTCATGACTCTCGTCAGCTCGCAGATGCCACCTTGTCAGTGGCAGTGACGAAACCGTCCGCTTTGAGCTTTTTGGAGCCGCCGCCTCTATCCTTGCTGCCTTTGGCACCTCCAGGAGAGAGCGAGCTGTACGCTTTCGACTCGTACGCCAGCGATGCCGATCGCTTTCGTCGCAAGGTGCAAGAACTAGAAGAAAAGCGCCAAGCGGCTTTGAGAGAGGTGGACGACGCACGAGTCAAGTCACTGCGTTCGCCTTCCACGCTAGCCGTGCCCGCTTCAGAGGTCGACCCCTCAAGTCCGGCAAAGAGCAGCTTCTCGAAAGAGTCGGATTATACGCTGGAAAGTCGCACGACTGATGCGACGTCCTTCTTCAGCGCTAGCTATCGGCCCTCGATCAATAGCGATCATAGTGCTGGCTTCGACAAAACACCACAAACACCGAATGTACCAGCTACAGTCGCACTTCCTTCCCTTTCCCAACGACGTGGAACACTCGCTTTCCTCCGACGGCCTTCGCTTGCCAATACGTGGGGACGTCGCAAGGTCAGCGGCACCCAGGCGCAAAGTTTTGTGACGCCTTCGCCG